AACTAGTAGGGTAAGGCTTACCATGAGCTATGGGAAGGGAAAGCTCTCAGCCAGCTAACAGGAGTCAGCAATCGTCTACTTCTGTGGGTATGCAAATATATATGAACGGTATTTGATAGAGTTACCCAAAAAATATATTTTTTCGACAGAAAAGCCCTTAAAAATCTTGAAATTTAAAATTTTTAATTAGCAACTTGTGTTCTCTGGTCAGTTACGAAAACAAAGTGCTTATGGTATGCAGTTTGATATAAACAAAAAATCCCCCACGCACATATAGCCACAAGCGAGAAAAAAAATATTAAAATGAGCTAATGATCGCTTCTCTGGTTTTAAGACAGTCTCCCCTCCCCGTGCTCCTTAAAGCACGTGAAGCTATAAACATAGAAAACTTAGAAACATGTTTAGGTCTGCAACTGGACATAGAAAACGAGGTGCAGGACTAAATTACACATTTCATTTACAAATCTCATCAACAAATATTCCATGAACAACGAACTATCGCGACGTGTCTGAGAAAACATCGAAGTCATCTATTGGGCTCGAACTTGCACCGCTGGACCCCCAGGTACATGCATTACCGACTGTACCATGATGGGTACAGTCGGTATAATATAGTCCATGAACCTTTCTGAGCAGGTTGTGGTTCAGTCGGTACTGTGCGTGTGTGGAAAGTCCAAGGGCGTGGAGGTTCGATCCCATTAGAGTGCTCCAATATATTAGCTAAAACACACACACACACACACACACACACACACACACACACACACACACACACACACACAATAGAACATACAGCCCCGCTCCTGTGCCAGGTAAGCCCTCTACGGGGCTCACCATAGCCCGTGCTACTTGCAACCATCCTTCTACCTATCCCCTCTTGCCCTATTTTCTTCTATTTTACAGACAGCTGCACCTATCTATCTTATCTACTCCCAAACAGTATCTTGTATGGAGTGATCATGTTCTCTGCTTCTTTATTTTAGTGATGAAAAATTCAAGTTTTTGAATTGTGATGAAAATGTTTTTTTCCGACGTCTCTTGTGACGTCAGTCTGTGATTCTAGTTGTAATAGTTATACCTAGTTGTTGTAGTTATATCTAGTTGTTGTAGTTATATCTAGTTGTTGTAGTTATATCTAGTTGTAGTGTTATATCTAGTTATTCCAGTTGTATCCAGTACTATATCAACCCGGCCTCCTAACAGAACGTCGCATTTTGACGTAGACTTTCCCTAGGGCCAAAAATCGTCGTACTAGAAAACGGCAGCGGCTGGCGGAAGTGACGTATTGTCCCGTTTTCTGTTGTGGGTCCTCTGGTAGGTTAGGATAAGGGCACCTTAGTACGACGTTGGGGCACCAAGGGAGCCGGTCGGCCGAGCGGACAGCACGCTGGACTTGTGATCCTGTGGTCCCGGGTTCGATCCCAGGCGCCGGCGAGAAACAATGGGCAGAGTTTCTTTCACCCTATGCCCCCTGTTACCTAGCAGTAAAATAGGTACCTGGGTGTTAGTCAGCTGTCACGGGCTGCTTCCTGGGGGTGGAGGCCTGGTCGAAGACCGGGCCGCGGGGACACTAAAGCCCCGAAATCATCTCAAGATAACCTCAAAAAGAAGATATCCCCCCATGGATTCGAACCTAGGCCACCAGAGTAGCAGCGCAGTATTCTACCCACTCACACAACAACAGCATTGTTAGTACTGAAAGGTCATTGGATACATGTAAGTTTTACGATCCTTTTAGTACTTAAAGACGTCGGAAGTGGTTGAGTGGGTTCAGTACAGGGCTGCTAATCTAGCGCCCTAGGTTCGAATCCTTTGAGGGGGATCATTTGAAGTACTGTTGAATATAATGCAATATTGTTGACTAAAGTCTTAGAAGTCTGAGGCGAGCTGGAAACATCAGTCACGTGAAAATTAAAGACTCATTTTGACTTTGACTTTGATTGTTAGAGAAAATTTTCTCTAATTTTTTTCTCTGTTAGAGAAAATTTTCTCTAATTTTTTTCTCCGTTAGAGATTATTTTCTCTAATTTTTTTTATGTTAGAGAAAATTTTCTCTAATTTTTTCTGTTAGAGAAAATTTTCTCTAATTGTTTTCTCTGTTAGAGAAAATTTTTTCTAATTTTTTCTATTAGAGAAAATTTTTCTAATTTTTTCTGTTAGAGAAAATTTTCTCTAATTATTTTTTTCTCTGTTAGAGAAAATTTTCTCTAACAATACTCATCGCCACGTTGGAAAGGCATAAAATTACATATATTCTTCAATAATCTTCCCCAAACACCAAGATTCCATTTGGTTTAGGCTTCAATGTGTGTGAATGAAAATGAAATCATATTTTATTTCTTCCAGCCAACGATACAAGCGACCAAGCACAGGAAAACATCCATTGGAGAATGTTGTTTATTCTGGCAAACTGCGTGACTATGGTCCAAGAACTGCCTCTCACTCCATACTGTTGTTAAAAGCGTATTACTGAATGTTGCTATGACTCGGAGTCGAGGGCTGTAGAAAGGTTTTTGTTTACATAATAATAAATAAATAGTTTATATAAATAATGAACATCTATAGACATGAGAAATGTTGGGTTAGAGTTCTCTTGTGTGTGTGTGTTGTGTGTTTGTGTGTGTGTGTGTGTGTGTGTTGTGTGTGTGTGTGTGTGTGTGTGTGTGTGTGTGTGTGTGTGTGTGTGTGTGTGTGTGTGTGTGTGTGTGTGTGTTGTGTGTGTGTTGTGTGTTTGTGTGTGTGTGTGTGTGTTGTGTGTTTGTGTGTGTGTGTGTGTGTGTGTGTGTGTGTGTGTGTGTGTGTGTGTGTGTGTGTGTGTGTGTGTGTGTGTGTGTGTGTGTGTGTGTGTGTGTGTGTGTGCGTGTGTGTGTGTGTGTATTCACCTAGTTGTGATTGCAGGGGTTGAGCTCTGGCTCTTTTTTTCCCGCCTCTCGACTGTCAATCAACAGGTGTACAGGTTCCTGAGCCTACTGGGCTCTATCATATCTACACTTGAAACTGTGTATGGAGTCAGCCTCCACCACATCACTGCCTAATGCATTCCACCTGTTAACTACTCTGACACTGAAAAAGTTCTTTATAACGTCTCTGTGGCTCATTTGGGTACTCAGTCTCCACCTGTGTCCCCTTGTTCGCGTACCACCCGTGTTGAATAGTTTATCCTTATCTACCCTGTCCAATCCTCTGAGAATTTTGTAGGTAATGATCATGTCTCAACTTACTCTTCTGTCTTCCAGTGTCGTGAGGTGGATCTCACGCAGCCTGTCCTCGTAACTCTCTTAGTTCTGGGGCTAGCCTAGTGAACTTTTTCCAGCTTCGTCTTGTGCTTGACAAGGTACGGGCTCCATGCTGGGGCCGCATACTCCAGGATTGTGTGTGTGTGTGTGTGTGTATGTGTGTGTGTGTGTGTGTGTGTGTGTGTGTGTGTGTGTGTGTGTGTGTGTGTGTGTGTGTGTGTGTGTGTGTGTGTGTGTGTGTGTGTGTGTGTGTGTGTGTGTGTGTGTGTGTGTGTGTGTGTGTGTGTGTGTGTGTGTGTGTGTGTGTGTGTGTGTGTGTGTGTGTGTGTGTGTGTATGAGCAGCCCATCCTCCACTGTAGACAGTACTGATAGTAACCAAGTTGATCATCGTACATATATTGACGTACTAGGCAATTAGAAAGTAGAATTTAGACAAACCTGAAAAAAGGTTTTGTATTTATGTTGCTAATAGAACCCTAACTTAACCTTCCTAGGCCTAATACACGCCATGTGAGGCCTAATATAGTACATATGTGTGCTATACTAGGCCTAGGAATATTTAAATTAGATTTTTAGCTTAATTTTTTTCCGGATTCCATGAAGTGAATAGTACCAAATTGTACTATCTAATTGTCCATTACGTCAATATATGTACGATAGTTACAAAAAAGTACTATTTATCCATGTGTACTATCTATATATGTGTACTATCTACACATGTTATTACACTTGTACATATGTACACTTGCTCTTATGTACACCTGACCATATGAACAGCTTTACATACTTTATCTTGAAATGATTTCGGGGCTCAGCGTCCCCGCGGCCCGGTCTTCAACCAGCTAGCCTCCTCGTTGCTGGACTGGTCAACCAAGGCTGTTGGACGCGCCTGACCAGGTCAACCAGCCTGACGTATCAGTCATAACCTGGTTGATCAAATATCCTTTACAGGTACTCGTATAGCGAAGACCCTCCATAAAGACCATGTTTTAACCATTACATCTTTGAAGATGCCCAGGTATGAGACGAGAGAGAGAGAGAGAGAGAGAGAGAGAGAGAGAGAGAGAGAGAGAGAGAGAGAGAGAGAGAGAGAGAGAGAGAGAGAGAGAGAGAGAGAGAGAGAGAGAGAGAGAGAGAGAGAGAGAGAGAGAGAGAGAGAGAGAGAGAGAGAGAGAGAGAGAGAGAGAGAGAGAGAGAGAGACAGACAGACAGAGAGGATGCCCACATATGGGAGAAAAGAGATAGGGAGGGAGGGGGACCCGCAGGTATACATATATATGCTGCTCAAAGCACCTTTCATCATCAGTCTCTGCCTATAACTCAGAAAGGAAGCATCTCCAGAGGTAAACACCGCCAGCTGGGTGGCTTTTGTGTAGCTTAGTGCTGAGTCAGGCGGCTTGCCGCGCTGACGTGGTTATGAACTACCTTCCTAGGTCATGAACTACCTCCCTAGGTCATTAACTCCCTCCCTAGGTCATGCAATATCTTCCTAGGTCATGCACGCCCTTTCTAGATGTCAGCATACAAGTGTGATTTGCACAAATCCTCCTCAACTCTCTTAATTTCAAATTATATGTATTACGTTGGTTGGGGCGGCCGGCTTGAGTCACGATACAACGTTCTTCGAACTCCAGTTCTTGGAGTTCGAAGAACGACTTGTTCTAAGAGGCAGCAGTAACCTCCATTAACGAGACGAGGGGCGACGTCTCGGGCGCCAAGAGGATCTGGTGGACACTTCAACATGCTTGTGTTCCGTCTTGCAGATGTGTGGAAGCAGTACTGTGGTAGTGGTGGTGATGTTGGCGGTGATGGTGGTGGTGGCGGCCGAGCCTGGTTTCTTTAAGAAAAAGAAGTCTTGCTACCCCCAAGTCCACCTCGTCCCCCACGTCGTCAGGCACGTCCAGAAGGTCAGTCACAGCCCCCGAGGGCTTCTGCTTGTAACGGATAATAATATAGATATGAATACTTCCTCTCACCCAAAAATAAAAGTTTGTACAAGCATTTTAATGTACGGTGGCAGTGGCATAGTGGTCTGCGTCCTTGACTCACACCCGAGGAGAGAAACGGATCAACATGTTTCCTGTCACCTCATACATCTATTTATTTAGTAGTAAATAGCTACCTGGGAGCTAGACAACTGTTGTGGGTTTGTATCCTAGGGAAGGTTAGTAGTTGGGGGGCTAGGCTTGGCGGCGCCTCAATATTCCCAGGATGGGAGGGTAGAAATAGCCTAAGCTACTCTATCCCTTTGAGATGTATATCTTTCTGGTTAATTCCTTTTCCCTAGAACCTGGTATTTACAAGTTTCTAGTACAAAGTCGTTAAATTACAGTGTTTCTAGTACAAAGTCGATAAATTACAGTGTTTCTAGTACAAAGTCGATAAATTACCGTGTTTCTAGTACAAAGTCGATAAATTACAGTGTTTCTAGTACAAAGTCGATAAATTACAGTGTTTCTAGTACAAAGTCGATAAATTAGTGTTTCTAGTACATAGTCGATAAATTACAAAGTGTTTCTAGTACATAGTCGATAAATTACAGTGTTTCTAGTACAAAGTCGATAAATTACAGTGTTTTTAGTACATAGTCGATAAATTACAGTGTTTCTAGTACAAAGTCGATAAATTACAGTGTTTCTAGTACATAGTCGTTAAATTACAGTGTTTCTAGTACAAAGTCGATAAATTACAGTGTTTTTAGTTCAAAGTCGATAAATTACAGTGTTTCTAGTTCAAAGTCGATAAATTACAAAGTGTTTCTAGTACAAAGTCGATAAATTACAGTGTTTCTAGTACAAAGTCGATAAATTACAGTGTTTCTAGTACAAAGTCGATAAATTACAGTGTTTCTAGTTCAAAGTCGATAAATTACAAAGTGTTTCTAGTACAAAGTCGATAAATTACAGTGTTTCTAGTACATAGTCGTTAAATTACAGTGTTTCTAGTACATAGTCGATAAATTACAAGTGTTTCTAGTACAAAGTGTCTTAATTAGAGCACGATCATGAAACACAAAAGTTACCGAAGGAACATATCGCGTAGGTTCTTAACTTTTTTTTTTTACATGAGGCTAGAAAAAGTTCCAAGTCATTTCAGTCATTTCATCTATACCTTGGACCAGATTCACGAAGCAGTTACGCAAGCACATACGAACCTGTACATCTTTTCTCAATCTGTGGCGGCTTTGTTTACAATTATTAAACAGTTAATGAGCTCCGAAGCACCAGGAGGCTGTTTATAACAATAACAACAGTTGACTGGCAAGTTTTCATGCTTGTAAACTGTTTAATAAATGTAATCAAAGCCGTGAATGATTGAGGAAAGATGTACATGTTCGTAAGTGCTTCCGTAACTGCTTCGTGAATCTGGCGCCTTAAGTTTAACCCCTTGATTAACTACCTTTCTCCCCCAGGTACCGGTGTACCATGCAGTCTACAAGAAACACCTCGTTCGAGTCCCAATATACCACACAGCGTACCGTACCCACTACCAAACTGAGTACCATCCCAAGTATGTTCCCCAATACGTCACTAAGACGGAGTACCGCGTCCAAGACGAGTACGTCACCAAGCGCCAGACTGAGTACGAGACCGAGTACCAGACTAAGTACGTCACTACCACTCTACAAGTACCAAAGTACGTCACCAAGACCCAGTACGAAACGCAGTACCAGACGCAGACGCAGTACCAAACGACGTACGCCACGGCTCTTGAGCCGTACTACTTAACAACCTTCGAGACGCAGTACGACACTCAGTACCAAACCACGCAGGTACCTGAGTACCACACAGTCACCAAGACCCAGCAGGCTTACCACACCGTCTGTCCAACGTCACCACAACCATTCTACAACTATTGACGTTTACCCAACGTCACTACAACCATTCTACAACTATTGACGTCTACCCAACGTCACCACAACCATTCTACAACTATTGACGTCTACCCAACGTCACCACAACCATTCTACAACTATTGACGTCTACCCAACGTCGCCACAACCATTCTACAACTATTGACGTCTACCCAACGTCACCACAACCATTCTACAGCTATTGACGTCTACCCAACGTCACCACAACCATTCTACAACTATTGACGTCTACCCAACGTCACCACAACCATTCTACAACTATTGACGTCTACCCAACGTCGCCACAACCATTCTACAACTATTGACGTCTACCCAACGTCACCACAACCATTCTACAGCTATTGACGTCTACCTAACGTCGCCACAACCATTCTACAACTATTGACGTCTACCTAACGTCGCCACAACCATTCTACAACTATTGACGTCTACCCAACGTCACCACAACCATTCTACAGCTATTGACGTCTACCTAACGTCGCCACAACCATTCTACAACTATTGACGTCTACCCAACGTCACCACAACCATTCTACAACTATTGACGTCTACCCAACGTCGCCACAACCATTCTACAACCACTAACAACTCACATCGAATCAAGCAAACTCCTCCAAGCTCATCGACATGAAATGGAAAGAAATTGCTTCGAAAAACTTTCCCTCTCCATAGCATTTTAGTATTTTCAAACCTAGCTCATATTTTCAAACATTCCAATGATACTGTTGAATTAAATATACTGATATTGTTGTATTAAATAAACTGATATTGTTGTATTAAATAAATACTGTTAGTTTCATCATTTTTCAATAGCATGTATGACATTAAAATACAATAGGCTTGTGGAGAGATGTATATAGATATATTTACTAACTATATTCTAGAGATTTCATGTGTTATAAAATCTTGTATATATATATTTTTGATAAAATTTGGTGTATGGGGTTTTGTTATTCAGTTGCAATATATTCTAACATGAAAATATATTCATATTAATATATTAATAAATCTTAATTTAATCTTGAAGATTAATATATTAATCTTGCAAGTTAAATTAGTTTAGTTAGGTGTTGGGATTAAGGCCTATCTTTCGAGTATTTAATGCTTATCAATGCTTGGAGGTTATTAAGGCCTATTAATATCTGTAGAGTTATTAAAGCCTATCATTCTGTGCAGGGAATTTGAGGCCTATCAACCTTTGGAGGGTTATTAAGGCCTATTAATCTTTGGAGGATATTAAGGCCTATTAACCTTTGGAGGGTTATTAAGGCCTATCAACCTTTGGAGGGTTATTAAGGCCTATCAACCTTTGGAGGATATTAAGGCCTATTAACCTTTGGAGGGTTATTAAGGCCTATCAACCTTTGGAGGGTTATTAAGGCCTATCAACCTTTGGAGGATATTAAGGCCTATTAACCTTTGGAGGGTTATTAAGGCCTATCAACCTTTGGAGGATATTAAGGCCTATTAACCTTTGGAGGGTTATTAAGGCCTATCAACCTTTGGAGAGTTATTAACGCCTATCAACCTTTGGAGGGTTATTAAGGCCTATCAACCTTTGGAGGGTTATTAAGGCCTATCAACCTTTGGAGGATATTAAGGCCTATTAACCTTTGGAGGGTTATTAAGGCCTATCAACATTTGGAGGGATATTAAGGCCTATCAATCTTTGGAGGGTTACAAAGGCCTATCAACATCTGAATGGCTATTAAGTTCAATCAACCTCTTGAGGATTATCAAGACACAAACACACACATATTAACCAACCAGTAAACATACCTGTCTCTCTAACACTGTTGAAGTCATATATGAACTCACATTTCGCAGAAAAGCGAATTAAATTTACATTACATAGCACAGATGAAGGGCGCACGAATAGTAATTCCAGCTTTCACCATTACAAACGTCTCCACTGAGAATTTAGACACAATAGTTGCCCTAGATATGTTTCACTAAAGTATCATTGAGATATGATAATCTCCTCCGCGCGGGCCAGCCAGACTGTGGCTCAGGATTTTTGTAAATAATTTGATGACGCGGCATCTATTATGTTCTCGTATGAATGGAAGAACGATGTACTCAATTGTGTTATGTATTTCGAGTGATTTGAGATGTATAGGTTTCGAACCATTGCCTTGCTCAATACATTTTCTATCTCTTTCTCTTTCTCTCTCATGTTCCATATTTGACCTGCCCAACCACTTGGGGTGGACGGTAGAGCGACGGTCTCGCTTCATGCAGGTCGGCGTTCAATCCCCGACCGTCCACAAGTGGTTGGGCACCATTCCTTTCCCCTCGTCCCATCCCAAATCCTTATCCTGACCCCTTCCCAGTGCTATATAGTCGTAATGGCTTGGTGCGTTCTCCTCATAGTTCCCTCTCCCAACAGACACTATATACTGTGGTTTCCTTAGAAGAACAGTGACGTATATCCTCTTGAGATGCTCTCCTATTGGTTGAAACGATTGCTAACACGCTCTGATTGGTTGAGGCAAACAGAGCTATGATTGGCCAGTTTAAATTTGAAAAAAATGGATATTTATCCAGTTTATTAAAATTTAGATTACTTAGCTCCTGGACCCCAGCACACTGGGACATCTAATACAATTAAATCCTAAATATCACATTTTTAACACAAATTTAAGTACATTATTTACGTAAGGTCTAGAAAATATGAAATATTTAGTTTGAGTGGAGTGGAATATTGAGGAGTTTTGTCTCTCCCAAATGCAATGTCATCAACCAATCGTGTGAGATGTTACTGACAGGTCGAGTCATCAACCAATCGTGTGAGATGTTACTGACAGGTCGAGTCATCAACCAATCGTGTGAGATGTTACTGACAGGTCGAGTCATCAACCAATCGTGTGAGATGTTACTGACAGGTCGAGTCATCAACCAATCGTGTGAGATGTTACTGACAGGTCGAGTCATCAACCAATCGTGTGAGATGTTACTGACAGGTCGAGTCATCAACCAATCGTGTGAGATGTTACTGACAGGTCGAGTCATCAACCAATCGTGTGAGATGTTACTGACAGGTCGAGTCATCAACCAATCGTGTGAGATGTTACTGACAGGTCGAGTCATCAACCAATCGTGTGAGATGTTACTGACAGGTCGAGTCATCAACCAATCCCGTGAGATGTTACACGTCGAGTAGCCAATCACAACGCTGTGGTGGTCTCGGTCTCCAAGTCTCCAATCACCTTTCCGGTTAAGAGGCTTAATGGGGTCCAGGTTCATTGTGGTGGTAGTGGTAGTGGTTGTGGTTGATGATTGTGATTGTGGTTGATGATTGTAATGACTATCAGCGCTGATGCCTCTTAACAGCATAGTTACCCCTAACTCAGTGGTCTACGTTCTCGACTCACAACCAAGAGACCCCGAGTTCAATCCCCGGGGTGAGGACAGATGATTGGACACGTTTCCTTTTACCTGATGCACCTATTAACCCATGAGTTAGCCAACTGTTGTGGTGTTGCATCCTGCAGAAGATCAACAAATTCGACCAAGGAGGACCTCGATACAGACTCGAGTACCTAAATTCTTACTTGTCATGCTCGAACGGAGTATTTAATCCCATATATTGTGACGGAGTGTCTTCTAGCTGTCGGGCAATTCTCCACCTTTGCTAATGAATCATTCAAGACTAATGATAGAGGTATATTGAGGGGTTTGGATAGAAGCAATTGCAATCTTGAAGGTAAGGTGTTATCTGGCTTAACAGCTGTTATCTCAATATGTGTCACTCTCTACTCAGGTGTTGTGTCAATATGTGTCACTCTCTCCTCAGGTGTTGTCTCAATATGTGTCACTCCCTGCATGAAGCGAGATCGTCGCTCTACCGTCCAGCCCAAGTGGTTGGTGGAGCTCAAGATATCAGTTTATTGGTGGTGGCGGATGTTGAACTCGTTACGGGGTCGTTCAGGTGTAATTGCTCTCAGGCGTGGAGGCGGAGGCTTTGTTTGCTTAATGGCAAACAAAGGACAAACAAACCCACAATGCCACAAACACACAATACCACAAACAATACCACAATCTCACAATACCACAACCCTACACTACTACACTCTCGCTTCTCAACACGACACAATCCCACACTCCGGTAAGGAAACTGGAGAGATGACAAGACACAATCTTTCACGCGTCGACTTTCCGTCACGTGCCTGTCTTAAATGACGGGTTAACGCCAGGTGACAGAAGTGATGGATTCACATACAGCCGATTGACGGGAGACCCAAGAACTGACAGACTCATGCAAGCGATTGACGGGTGAACTGTCAATCGCTTGCACGATTGACGGTCTGTTGCAATCATCTATCTCTTCGAACCTCGATCGAACGAACAAGACGCCAAAGAAGCCGTTAAGAACCGCTGAGACGTCGCAAGGTTTACTCCGGACGCTACGAACAGAGAGATACGATGTCGTAACCTCTTTCGTCCGTACTCCCCCCCCCACACCCACCCATCCACTTGCCTTACATCATCCTGTTGACTTAACCCGCCATTGTATTCTACGCTGAAGGTTCTATTACGCAAACGAGAAAAGATTTAGAATTATCTGGGTCGTGTCATATAGAATCTATTTTGTTTGTAATCTAGTGTTTAATGTGTATGAATGTGTGTATTTGTATATGGATGTATATTATTTGTTAAATAGTCTGGGATTAAGTCTACTGTTTGTAATAATTCATTGTGACGGCGGGACAGGTAGCCAGAGTGTATTCATACATGTTAGGCATGTATGAATACATGAATACATTGAGGTCCCCCCCCACTCTCCCCCCCCCCCAAGGAAGGAATTGCTAGCACAGCTTTGTTAGAATGCTATCTTATAACAAGCTGACTAACTCTTGGATACCTATTTACTGCTAGGTGAACACACACACACACACACACACACACACACACACACACACACACACACACACACACACACACACACACACACACACACACACACACACACACACACACACACACACACACACACACACACACACACACACACACACACACACACACACACACCCTATGCGCTACACAGGTATTCCTGTGAACACCTTCAATAGCCTAATACCCTCACCCCATACTCCGGACAAAAATCCCCCAAAATAATTACCTCACAAACCAGTACATAGGTAATTGACCTAAAACCTCTGGCGGGTAGGCGGTTCCACAGGTTAATAATCCTATGGGTAGAAAGTCTCTCTTGTTGTGTGTCCTACATTGTGGCTTGTTATAGTTGTTGACCCTGACCTTAGCCTAGCACAAGACAGGCCTAACCTAACCTTGGTGTAACCTATTCCTTGGTTCAAGTTCATGTTTATTGAGACAAGAAATACATCTCAAAGGGATAGAGTAGCTTAGGCTATTTCTACCCCCCTTTCCTTGGTTAACCCTAGATTATTATGCCCTAGGTTACGTTTCCTTGCTCCTAGATCAGGCTATAGTTTATATATAATTACACTTCACTTTCCTGTCCATAAACATCTTTCTTTTGGGATTTGTGCTTTTGTTCTAAATTGTTTAGCTATGAAACGAACTTTTCAACGTGTATAGTCTTGGCTTCAATGTGTACATGGTCTTAGCTTCAATGTGTACATGGTCTTGGCTTCAATGTGTACATGGTCTTGGCTTCAATGTGTACATGGTCTTGGCTTCAATGTGTACATGGTCTTGGCTTCAATGTGTACATGGTCTTGGCTTCAATGTGTACATGGTCTTGGCTTCAATGTGTACATGGTCTTGGCTTCAATGTGTACATGGTCTTGGCTTCAATGTGTACATGGTCTTGGCTTCAATGTGTACATGGTCTTGGCTTCAATGTGTACATGGTCTTGGCTTCAATGTGTACATGGTCTTGGCTTCAATGTGTACATGGTCTTGGCTTCAATGTGTACATGGTCTTGACTTCAATGTGTACATGGTCTTGGCTTCAATGTGTACATGGTCTTGGCTTCAATGTGTACATGGTCTTGGCTTCAATGTGTACATGGTCTTGGCTTCAATGTGTACATAGTCTTGGCTTCAATGTTACAATGTGTCGTACGACTTCATATTGACGTCACGACATGTCTCATCCACAATAAGGCAGGTATTGTATCACTGCTCTACAATAAGGCAGGTATTGTATCATTGCTCTACAATTAGGCAGGTATTGTATCACTGCTCTACAATAAGGCAGGTATTGTATCACTGCTCTACAATAAGGCAGGTATTGTATCACTGTTCTACAATAAGGCAGGTATTGTATCACTGCTCTACAATAAGGCAGGTATTGTATCACTGTTCTACAATAAGGCAGGTATTGTATCACTGCTCTACAATAAGGCAGGTATTGTATCACTGCCCTACAATAAGGCAGGTATTGTATCACTGCTCTACAATAAGGCAGGTATTGTATCACTGCTCTACAATAAGGCAGGTATTGTATCACTGCTCTACAATAAAGCAGGTATTGTATCACTGCTCTACAATAAGGCAGGTATTGTATCACTGCTCTACAATAAGGCAGGTATTGTATCACTGCTCTACAATAAGGCAGGTATTGTATCACTGCTCTACAATAAAGCAGGTATTGTATCACTGCTCTACAATAAGGCAGGTATTGTATCACTGTTCTACAATAAGGCAGGTATTGTATCACTGTTCTACAATAAGGCAGGTATTGTATCACTGCTCTTCAATAAAGCAGGTATTGTATCTGCTCTACAATAAGGCAGGTATTGTATCATTGCTCTACAATAAGGCAGGTATTGTATCACTGCTCTTCAATAAAGCAGGTATTGTATCTGCTCTACAATAAGGCAGGTATTGTATCATTGCTCTACAATAAGGCAGGTATTGTATCACTGCTCTACAATAAGGCAGGTATTGTATCACTGCTCTACAATAAGGCAGGTATTGTATCACTGTTCTACAATAAGGCAGGTATTGTATCACTGCTCTACAATAAGGCAGGTATTGTATCACTGTTCTACAATAAGGCAGGTATTGTATCACTGTTCTACAATAAGGCAGGTATTGTATCACTGCTCAACAATAAGGCAGGTATTGTATCACTGCTCTACAATAAGGCAGGTATTGTATCACTGCTCTACAATAAGGCAGGTATTGTATCACTGTTCTACAATAAGGCAGGTATTGTATCACTGCTCTTCAATAAAGCAGGTATTGTATCTGCTCTACAATAAGGCAGGTATTGTATCATTGCTCTACAATAAGGCAGGTATTGTATCACTGCTCTACAATAAGGCAGGTATTGTATCACTGCTCTACAATAAGGCAGGTATTGTATCACTGCTCTACAATAAGGCAGGTATTGTATCACTGCTCTACAATAAGGCAGGTATTGTATCACTGCTCTACAATAAGGCAGGTATTGTATCACTGCTCTACAATAAGGCAGGTATTGTATCACTGCTCTACAATAAGGCAGGTATTGTATCACTGCTCTTCAATAAGGCAGGTATTGTATCACTGCTCTACAATAAGGCAGGTATTGTATCACTGCTCTACAATAAGGCAGGTATTGTATCACTGATCTACAATAAGGCAGGTATTGTATCACTGATCTACAATAATGAACAAAGCCTCATGTATACTAACGATTTGGTGAAAAAAACATAAAAAAATTCTGCATTTCATTTTATTTCAACCGTTACAATCACCTTTCGTGGATCTAACACACTCATATATGACTTGATTTACAGGGAAAAATTTGAAAAAAATGCAAAAAATATTGTTTATAAATAGTAAACATTAAATACTCAATTCACAATATCAACAAAAAAGAAAACTTATCAACAATGACCCGGAAATAAATTCCCCAGTTATCCCTTAAAAGTAAACAAAGCTCATTTACGAAGGAGATTTCGTTCGCGTAGAGAGAGAGTTGAGGCTTTTGTAGATCTACTTTATAGACGTGGGAGGCTGGGGGCAGACTGGGTCTTGTAGGTCTGCTGGGGTTTTGGTGACGTAGGGAGACCAGTTGGGTCTGCTGGCTGCATGGCCGGGTCTTCAGTAGCCGTGGGAGGGCTTGGGCAGACTGGGTCTTGTAGGTCTGCTGGGGTCTTGGTGACGTAGGGAGACCAGTTGGGTCTGCTGGCTGGATGGCCGGGTCTTCAGTAGCCGTAGGAGGGCTTGGGGCAGACCGTCTTGTAGGTCTGCTGGGTCTCCGTCACGGTCACGTACTGAGGGACCACTTGGGTCTGGTACTGGGTCTTGTACTGCACCTCGGTCTTGGTGACGTACTGGGGGACGTATTCGGTCTTGTACACGGTCTGGTACTGGGTCTGTGTAACGTACTGGGTTTGGTATTGGGTCTGAGTGATGTACTGGGGGACATACTCGGTCTTGGTGATGTATTGGGTCTGGTACTGGGTCTGGTATTTGGTTACGTACTGGGTCTGGTACTGGACTTGTGTCTTGTAGACGGTCTCGGTGACGTACTGGGTCTGGTACTGGGTCTGGTACTTGGTCACGTACTGGGTCTGGTACTGGGTTTGGTAGTGTGTGGTGGGGACGACCTGGGTCTTGTACACAGTCGTATACACAGGAACCTGCAAGAGTAACATTTTGATAAAATAACAAATACAAATTTTTATATAAAATTTTGAGTTAAATCTATCATAAGATCTATAGGAACATATAATCAATGTCTTCAGCGCTACTTTCTTCTTTCATGTATACGGAGAATGTCGAGTTTAAAATGGATTTAGTTTGAGGCTTTCATGATATTTCAGGAGACAATATTGCGTAGTTTGGTTAAGTATATGTCAGTTCATTTATGTTGGAATTACTGTACTGATCAAACCAAAGTATTGACCTACAAGACCTGCCCAAGTATTGACCCGTTGGACCTGCCCCAGTATTGACCTGCTGGACCTGCCCCAGTACTTACCCGTTGGACCTGCCCAAGTACTGACCTGCTGGACCTGCCCCAGTACTGACCTGCTGGACCTGCCCCAGTACTGACCTGCCCCAATACTGACCTACTGGACCTGCCCCAGTACTGACCTGCTGGACCTGCCCCAGTACTGACCTGCTGGACCTGCCCCAGTACTGACCTGCTGGACCTGCCCCAGTACTGACCTGCCCCAATACTGACCTACTGGACCTGCCCCAGTACTGACCTGCTGGACCTGCCCCAGTACTGACCTACTAAACCTGCCCCAATACCACTGGACCTGCCCCAGTACTGACCTACTAAACCTGCCCCAATACTACTGGACCTGTCCCAGTACTGACCTACTGGACCTGTCCCAGTACTGACCTACTGGACCTGCACCGGTACTGACCTGTTGGACCTGCGTCTGGTACTGGGTGACGTACTGGGTCTTGGGGTAGCAGGGGGCGGGTTGGGGGTAGCTGGGGTCAGCCCCCACCGCTGCCACCACACCCAACACCACCACAAACAAACTCCAACACATCATCTCGGATCTGAAATAAGCTTTAAAATCACCATTCATATATTTCATGCCTTAAAAAAGGCCACTATCATGTTTATGCCTTTTTAATTCCATTTTTGTTATATAAATTGCCAGTTAATGCAAAAAGTTCTTAGAATTGGTTTACCTTGTTGAGAAGTTGGCTTAGCGAACGATATCGTGAGACTGATGATTGAGGAGTAAGCGAGGCTGTATTTATAGTGAGACATCAACCCTCCCCCCTACGCCCCTCTCTCTCTCTCGGTACCTCCCTCTCCCTTCACTTCGGAGAGGGGCCACTAGTCTCCAGAAGGTCGTTTGTGTAGAGGTAATTACCTAAGTGTAGTTACAGGATGAGAGCTACGCTCGTGGTGTCCCGTCTTCCCAGTTCTCTTTGTCGTATAACGCTTTGAAACTACGGTTTTAAACCGGACGGTTTTGTGTGTGTGTGTTTACTATTTGTGCTTGCAGAATTAATTTTAGCTCTTGGACCTCGTTATTGTTTAATGTAGTTGATTGTAACCATGATATATGTATGTGCTTCAGTCTACAGTTTAGACACTGAATTACTCAGATTAGGCAAATTTGTAATTAATTTATGTCAATAAAGATGTTAATAATACTTGGACCCCGCCTTTCTAATTTATTTTTCCTCTATTATGTCGACTACTTATATTTCTCTATAACAAACACACACACACACACACATCCCAGGAAGTAGCCCGTAGCAGCTGTCTAACTCCCAGGTACCTATTTACCGCTTGGTAAATAGGGGCTTTAGTGTGAAAGAAACTTTGCCCACATGTTTCTGCCTCGGCCTGGAATCGAACCCGGGCCTTTAGGACTATGACCCCAGAGCGCTGTCCACTCAGCCGAGAGGCCCCTGTGTGTGTGTGTGTGTGTGTGTGTGTGTCTGTGTGTAACTAATCACGGCTATATCTATCAGTTTTAGAAAAAAACCCGTATTAAACTAGCTTTACCTTCTTCAGAGCAACCTATATCTGGATGAATTGTAGAAACTCTTCCCAAACAAATAATGACAAGTGTATTTAGCCCCTAAATTGTTTGTCATCTCTCAACAAATTAAATGTTGAATAGTGCATGGCTGTTTTTGTGTCAGCCTGATCCGTCACCACCACTATCTACGGGGGAGGTGGTGGAGAGGGGGATGGTGGGTAGTAGGCTGGCTGGAGAATTGTAATTAATACTAATTATATACAGTACTATTGAATGTAATTAATGCGCACTGTTCGTTTGTTTAATTCCCGCTAATTGAAAATGATTGATCCTGTCAAAGTGTTTGCTTTCGTGTTTGAGGTGAATCTCTAGATTTTAAATTGATCTGTATTCCCAATTTAAGTGGTAGCTTATGTGGTAGGAGCTCTGAAGCTCCTGTGACGAGAATTAGCAAGTGGTAGCCTAGAATGGAGCCACAAAAGTGTCTATAAAGTGGTAGCCTATGCAGTAGGCCTACAAGCTTCAGTGACGAGAATTAACAAGTGGTAGCCTAAAGTGAAGCTACAAAAGTGTCTATAAAGTGGTAGCCTTTGCAGTAGATCTACAAGCTCCACTGGCGAATAATATTAAAGTGTTAGCCTTTTTAAACTGGAGCCCAAAGAGGGCAAGAGTGACATTTAGTTAACTGTGGTTACCCAGATGTAGTGGGCAAGTACATCGTTATACATATCTATCGTTATACATAGCCTGGTCGCAATAACAGGAAGTGTTGTTCTTCAGGATATTCTCATAATGCGTCTCAAGTCTGTCAGTGCAGACTACTGATCACATGGCCCTGTATGACTGACCATCCTGTGTGATGGGGACTTTTAGCATCACGTAGCTAGCTTTTGACACACTCTGTACTCCTCTTCATATAGTCTATGGCATGTGTTAACCAAAAAAATACCCTACTGTATTCTTCACCTCCTTCCTTACTCATCACCACCTTCCCTACCCTTCACAACCTTCCCTTCATCCCTGTAATCCTAGTGATGATGCTTTCTCTTATTTAGCGAGATTGAAAACTAGTATCATTTGCCATTTCGTAGAAAAGAGAGGTCATATCTCGACCAGCCCATGACTATATCTGTATGAAGACCAGTCACCCTGCAAAGTTTAGTGAGGCTATCCCCAAGCATTTGGTCCCCATCTTTGAATAAATTCTCCTTTATAGACAATTAGGAAGTAGGGGTGGAGGAGGTATCTCTTCTGCGCCCAAGTCTGATGTTTACACACATGGTATGCTCAGGGTTGGGAGAAATGCCCCAACACGCTTCCACTACACATAAAGGGCATACCTGGCCAACCCCTCACAGTGTTCAAAAGAGAACTTGACAAACACCTCCAAAGGATACCTGATCAACCAGGCTGTGACTGTTGACCAGACCACACACTAGAAAGCGAAGGGACGACGACGTTTCGGTCCGTCCTGGACCATTCTCAAGTCGATTGTCGAGAATGGACAATCGACTTGAGAATGGTCCAGGACGGACCGAAACGTCGTCGTCCCTTCACCTTCTAGTGTGTGGTCTGGTCAACATACTTTAACCACGTTATTGTGACTCATCGCCTGCAGGCTGTGACTCATACGTCAGGCTGCGAGCAGCCGCGTCCAACAACCTGGTTGACCAGTCCAGCAACGAGGAGGCCTGGTCGACGACCGGGCCGCGGGGTCGCTAAGCCCCGGAATCACCTCAAGGTAACCTGCCACATGTAACATTAGCCCAACCTGACCCTGGGAAGCACTGTGTCGCACTGTCTGGTGGACGTTTGTTGTAGTTGTTTAAGATTCAGCTACTTGGAACAAGTTCCAAGTAGCACGGGCTATGGTGAGCCCGTAGTGGAATTACCTGGCACAGGAGCGGGGCTGTGTATTTCTAGGGGTGTAGGGGGGATTGTGGACGTTTTGTGCGGCATCAGATAACAAACCGTTAATATTTTTTTTACACAGGCTTTCAAGCCGTTGAGAGTCTCTGATTTCAATTTTCACTCTGTAATGTAGATAGATCATCCCATTCTCCTGTTTAGATAGTAGTTTTTGTAACTATGTTAAATATTCCTTGGCCTAGTATAGCACAAATATATTATATTAGACATCAGGTATCATGTATTAGGCCCAGGAAGGTTAGGTTAGATTAGATTGTCTTTGCAACATAAGTCGTTTTCAGGTTTGTATGATTTCTACTTTCTAATTTCGTTGTACATCTGTATATGTACTATAGTCCTCAGCCTTCCTATAAGTACTACCGAAACAGGAGGATGGACTGCGATAAGACATTTTCAAAGGTCGTAAATTCAATAATTTCACACACAGTATGCAATAGGCTGTTGACCAGATTTTGAGTTTGTCAGTAGAACTTTCTCTTCACTACAAAATGACATTTAGAAACGTGTGATGCCAGTGCTTTCACTCCTAGGATATTACAGGCGAGTTTTGCCTCAGTATACAGACTAGTAAGTAGGCCTTAGCAAGCTTCGCCATGATAGGCTTGCCTGTTATTAAATTTATAAGGATTCAAAAACCATACGTTTGAATGCTAAAATCCAGCTTTAATTAACATTTCATTACATACTATTTGAAATCATTCAAAGGCACTGTAAAAATATCCCCCCAAAACAGGAATTACTTTGATCATAATATATTACAGACACTATTACTGTATAATGACAGTTATAATATTTAGAGTCAATACATTCACACAGCAGATTAAGATGGTTGGTGGTTAACTTTGGTTTAAATTAAAAGTACATAGGTTATATATTCATTGCAGAATTTATATTTATAGTAAATTTCAGCGGGTAGCCTATCGCAGATCTTAACCCAATATGTCTCCATTTGCCACTCCGTTAAAAATTGCAGCTGTTTTGACTAACTAGAAATATACAAACCCTACCAACCCACCTAACCTCTCGAGGCCGAGGCTTTTTTTCACTTAAGACATCGCATTTTTACCGACTTATTAAATGAGAAGGCACAGGTGCTGTTGTGATACTGGCTTTGTGCTCTTTCCTCATAACAACCTTACTCATAACTACCCTCCTCATAACAATTTTGAATGGTTTGCCTGTCATATAAATCCCAGAAACTGCATATATGTGGATATATATGGATATATTGTCCGCGGGCGGGAGAGTTTCCCGCCCTGCAGGACAGGTACCCGGCGGTGATTGGCTGAGCCGTCCCGCGCGCGGGAAGAGGCGCCGCCCTTGGGGGTTCCCGCGCGCGCCTTCGTCAGTAGTCACCCGCAGCGGGCTGATGGCACGTCGCCGCTCACCTGCAGCGTCCCTTGGACGCCGTCAGCGGCGGTCAGGACACCTGCAGCTTCCGTTGGTCGCCGTCAGCGGCGGTCAGGACACCTGCAGCTTCCGTTGGTCGCCGTCAGCGGCGGTCAGGACACCTGCAGCTTCCCGTGGTCGCCGTCAGCGGCGGTCAGGACACCTGCAGCTTCCCGTGGTCGCCGTCAGCGGCGGTCAGGACACCTGCAGCTTCCCTTGGTCGCCGTCAGCGGCGGTCAGGACACCTGCAGCTTCCCTTGGACGCCGTCAGCGGCGGTCAGGACACCTGCAGCTTCCCTTGGTTGCCGTCAGCGGCGGTCAGGACACCTGCAGCTTCCCTTGGACGCCGTCAGCGGCGGTCAGGACACCTGCAGCTTCCCTTGGTTGCCGTCAGCGGCGGTCAGGACACCTGCAGCTTCCCTTGGTTGCCGTCAGCGGCGGTCAGGACACCTGCAACTTCCCTTGGTTGCCGTCAGCGGCGGTCAGGACACCTGCAGCTTCCCTTGGTTGCCGTCAGCGGCGGTCAGGACACCTGCAGCTTCCCTTGGTTGCCGTCAGCGGCGGTCAGGACACCTGCAACTTCCCTTGGTTGCCGTCAGCGGCGGTCAGGACACCTGCAGCTTCCCTTGGTCGCCGTCAGCGGCGGTCAGGACACCTGCAGCTTCCCGTGGTCGCCGTCAGGATGGGAACGACGCCTCAAGACGTCAGACTTGAGGTATAAAAGCGTCGTG